CGTTCCTGGTGCGGAGGCAGCGCCGGGGCCTCCCCACGGGGCACCTGACCCAGAGGGCCTGAGCCTGAACGGCCTGCAGGGCCCCGCGGAGGATGAGGAGGATGAGGCAGGCTCGGCCGCCCCGCTGGAGCAGCAGGACGAGGAGGAGGAGAGGCAGGAGCATGACATCTCCCTCTTCGTCAAGGTAAGGTGTGGGGTGACCCGCTGCGCTGTGTGTGTGGGAGCGTAGCCGGCAGCTCTGTTTCCAAGTGCCAGCTCAGCCCCTGATGGAAGGATGTTTTTTTCAGGGGCTCTTGACAGGTTTTTGAGGTCTTCCGAGTGTAGTAAGGGTGTGTAGAACTGAATCATAGGTGTTTAGGTGGAGGGAACTGGAAAATGTCCCTTTAAATATGTTGTTGACCTTGGGCATATTGGAAAACCCCCAAAGTTTAGTCAATTCCTCCAAATGTGGCAGTGCTGGTTTCGTAAGTTAGCAAGTGCCCAACAATGTAACATTATCCCTTAAAGCTGCTCAACCAGAATGTAGGTTTGGACAGGCTGGAGGTATATGGAAATGGGAAAAGATGGTCTTAAACTGTGGTTTAAGTGGTCTTAAAACTAATTTCTACTGTTTTATGCTTGAGAGTTTTAGTGCTGTGTTCTCTGAACCTGGAATCGCATTAAAGTCAGTGACTCCACGTTGGAAAGGGCATCTGTCCACTGACAGAATATCAGATGTGAAAATTTCTGAGTGTGAACTCCATCATGAGATTTCTTTCTTTGCCCTTTTCCAACCTCACTGGAGAGAAGAAAAAACAAAAAAAAAGTGGAGCAGGGTAGGATATATTTTTCCAGAGCAGACCCAAACTTCAGCTGAGGAAGGAGAAGATGTTTTGAGAGTTCTCCACTGCCAGCCATGCTTCCTATGCAAACACCTCAGCCCCTTTGGTTGGCCATGGCTGCTTTTTTAGTAGTCTGAATTAAACATGAAAGAAAAACTTTTGGCCAGTCCTCTCCTGCATGGAGGTGGGAGGTGGAGCAGTATCTACTCACTGATTGTCCCACCTAAGTTTGCACTTTTTTTTTTCCCTCCAAGATTCAGTCTCTATATGTGGGAAAAAGCTGGGGGGATGCTCTGATGCTCATGATTGCTTTGTGCGAAAAGTACTGGGTAATGTTGTCCTGGGACCCAAGATTCAGTCTCTATTTGTGGGAAAAAGCTGGGTGATGCTCTGATGCTCACGATTGCTTTGTGCCAAAAGTACTGGGTAATGTTGTCCTGGGAAGGTGAATGTTAATAACATTTGATGTTGGTGAACTGTTTCAGCCTCTCCATAATTCAGGAATTTTCTTACAGCACAGGATGGGAGATATTCTGTGGCTTAGAGGCAACTTTATGTGTCAGGTTGGTCTACATTAGCTACATGATAAGGCTGGAGTTGAAATGTGTGATTTTTGTGTTAAGTTTAGGTAGCAGAAACTGCTCAGCTTAGTGAGGGATGGTTTTTGTATTTTTGGGCTGCAAATTAACAGCTCCCCTTTGCACCACCACTTTTGAAACTTCTCTGCTCTTGTTTTACACTCTCACGCGTTCCCCAGTTGAGTACTGAAGTGTGGCAGGATGATAAATGAGCAAGCATTAAAGGCTGTGTTTGTATCATGAGATATGGGTACTCTTTGTAGGAGAACAGTCTGACCCAAATGAGAAAGTGGGCTGCAATACTGATAGGAACATCTATTGTGACTTTGTAATGCAAAAATATAAGGACTAAGCATTTAAAAAGTATGTTTTTCAGGTAATGAGGACAGAATAAGGAGGAGCTTGATGACTGACTTAGCATTAGTAATTTCAGAGTGCTTTGAGAAATGTTTTCATTGGAGGAGCATTGCAAAGGTTGAAGATTTTTCCTCACCCAGAGCTAGTTTGCTTCCTTTTTTTTAGCTTGAGATTGATGAGAGCTTTTCCACTTTCATGCTAGGAAAACAAAAGCCTCCTGGAGAGCTCTGCATCCCTTCACTCATCAAGCTGTGCAGGGAAGCACCTCTCTGCTTTCCTGGGAGAGCCCACGCTGCTCTTCCCATCTCCCGCAGTACCTCTAGCACTTCCTCCTGTACAGGAGAGGGGTTCCCGATAAATGCAGTAGTCATCACCTGGTTGCTTCTCCTTAAAACTCTTATTTAAAAGTCTTGCCTTCTACAAAGCCACTGGAACCTGCTCCCAGGGTCCCAAGGAGACCCCAGGCTTCTTGGGTTCCCAATTTCTATCCATTTCTGTTGGAAATCTGACTGTAAATGGACACGGTAGTGGGTTGTCTACCTCTTACTTGTGCCTCTGTGCAGAGCTTATCCAAGAGGAGGTCCATCCCGTAGTTCAGTAGCACAGTACAAATACAGAGCAGTGTTAGAAGGAACCCTGTAATAGGAGGAAACTTGCCAGAAAATGAGGAGGTCGTAGTCAGAATGACGCTCACTCTTTCTGTGTTAGGAGTGTTACATTAGACTTGGATGACGCTGCAATCCTTGCCTCTTTTTCCGCTTATAAAGTTGCACAGGATTTCAAGCAGAAGGGTCACCTTCAAGAAGAAAGTTAGCCTTTTCTGGGTATGACTATTTGATGGCCAGCCACAACTTTTGGATAGTTATAGCCATTCCTTGTTTTTACCATTGCTGACCATCTGCTTGTCCTTTCTGGTTCAGAAACCTGTTCTCATCTGCTTCTTGCATCTTTGCCTTGGCTTGTTTCATTTTTCATACATGTTTTTGGGTATGATGAATATCATGTCGCCTTGTACTTCCCACCAAGAGGTGGGTGGTGAAAAGTTTCTGCTAGCTCTAGGGAAGTGGACATCAGGAATTGTGGACTCTGAAGCTGCTTTGGGCTGTTATGCAGTGTGGGGTTGTAGTTTGATCAGACATGTAGGGCTCAGGATACAGATCTGGTACTGAGACCCTCCAGCAGTTAGCAGGAATAACGTAGCCTCTAGGGGAAAGGACATTCTTCTGGACCAGCGGCTGGAAGCCACCCAGGCTATAGGCAAAGCACCTCAAAAGACATTCAACATCTGTGTTTAGGTGATTAATTTGTGCTCATAATGATGCTGAACTATGTAAGACTCCTTGAGCAAGACCATATTAAAATTGCTTTGTGGGTTTCCCAAGGCTTTGATTCCCAAGGTTTTGATTTCCACTTTCCCATGAAACGATCTGCATGGTCTGTTTCCTTTAGATAGTATTGCTTGGTGTTTCTGGTCTTTCAAAGTCAAAATGTTTGCAGAGGGCAAACATGTGTGATTGCTCTCCGGTAATTCTGCAAGTGGTACCTGGCACCTTGGGCAAGACACCCTGGGGACGTCGACGCTTTGCTAGCTGGTCTTCTCTTAAGGTGAACAGTATGTGTATGCTACACTCCTTCTTATCCCCCATGAGAGTTTGCAAATGCTCAAAATTTATTTTACAATTTGATTTTAAGGGAACGCTGGTCATTTTCTTTCTGAAAAAAAAAACCTTAGAACACATGGGGCATGTAGTATGTAAAATTCCATTTTTAAATAATAAAAAGTTCTCTTCTGTCAGTTTTATATTTGAACTCAAAAACACTAGGGTCACAACTAAAAGTTCCCTCATTCTGAATGTTTCTAGGGATAGTAATTCACTGTAAGTGCTGAGCACCAGCACTCAGCCAGCCACCCCTGTTGGAACATGAGGTCTTCTCTGAGATTATTCTTCTTCCAAGATAGTTCTTATGTTCTGGGTTAAATGGCGTACAGTAAAAGCTACCTATGAACGTCAGGTAAGAGATTGTATCCAGTGAAAAGCAATATCCAATCTTGGCGCCATTCTTGAACTCTAATTCGAAGTCATTTATTTCATTCAGGGACTTATTTCATTCCTACCAGGGAGCAAAGCTTTTATATGATTCCGGGTTCTGTTATGCTCTGGTAAAAATGAGGTTCCTTTACCGATGCAGAGTTTCCTCACACCATTCCTGAGATGTGCTTGAGGGACTTGATGTATTTGAAGATGTGCTGGACTATCGAAAGTAGAGTTGGCCTTTGTGCATAACTTATGTTTAAGGCAAAAATGGACTGCTCTAAAATGAACCTCTCAGCTTTGAATACTGTGGCTGTGAAGTCTGTTGAAAGCAGGAGTTCAAATCTCTAGAAAATCAGTATAGCCTGTGTGCCTCTTCAGTGGACTCTGTTCTGTACCTGAAGCTTGACATAAACATTTACAGTAAAAACACCAAGGAGGTATTTGTGCTTCGGTTTTGGGCTTTTGCTCATCAGTGCTCTCAGTTTGTAAATTATATGAGTATGGTTTGAAGGAGAATAGCTCATGTTCTGCACTGGGTGAAAGTAGATGTGTGTTTACTGTTCATTTTTAATGCAGATTCAGCGGAGGAACTCAAAATTCAGACGGTCTCAGGAGGGTGAGAGTAAAGATGTGTATGCATGAGGTTACACTGCCCCGATATTTAAGGATTAAAAGAGATTTAGGGGGAAACTTTGGTCCTGGAGCAGAGCGTGAGCCTGTTCCAGTACTGAACTGCCTAAACCCACTAAATAGCCCTGAACTACTGAAACCAGCATCCAGCTGAACCCGGCTGGGGCCGTAGGGCTGCCCAGCAAGATCAAACTCATCCCCTGTTGCTGTCTGCAGGTTGATGAAGAGCTCGCGGGGGGCTTTTGGTTCCTTCTATGTATTTGTTATATGCAGAGCACCGTCAGTTAAAACACATACTGCAAGTTTGTTCCCAAGGCAAAGCAGGAAACTGGCTGACTTCCCAGGGGTATTTGCCCTCTCCCAGCTACTTTGTCAGCAGGCATATGGCAATTTAAGGTTCCCTACTACAGCTTAAGAGGCACTCGCATTATGAATTCCTTTCATAACTCTTCAGTTTATTGTGTGAGCCCTGTGCACCTGCAGCATTTTTTTTTTCTGGGAGCTGCTTGTTCTTTCAGCAGTCTTTTCATCTGAATAAAATTGTTCTTGGGAGGCTTTTGTTTAAAAGGCAACAAATTCTCTGTATATATATATAATCTTTTACAGTTTTGCCTGTCCGTGCTTTCCTTGTAGGCGGGGCAGGTTTTCAACCTTTTTAAAGCTTAGAGTTCTACAAGGAAGTAAATTTCTTGGAGCTGCTCACTAGAGAATAGCTTTAAGAGCTGCACCAAAATTATTTTTGCAACCTTGCTGCTGGAGGCA